ATTCCAGCTGCTTCCTCCTCCTTCTATCGGCGCGGCATACCCGGCAAGTGGCCCCCAATACGGTTCATCAACGTCGTCGTCGTCGTCCGACTTCCGACAAGTCATTACCAAGCGGCGCAGACAAACCACTCACTCGGATCTCTTCAACTATGAAGAGCGGGAGGGGAGGGAGGGGGAAAAGAGGATGGGAGGGAGGGGAGGGAGAAGGGGAGGAAATGGACGGGGAGGAGAGAGGGAAAGGTGGGGAGGGGAAGGGTGTTGGGGGGGGGGGGGGGTAAAGGTCGGAGGAAGGGGATGCACAGTGGGCAGTGGTCCACAAGACCGGTGGAGGCGGCCAAAATTCTAGACGGGTTTTGAGCTACAGAGTCGCTAAACAGGTCTCGAACCTAACGTGTGACCCCACCAATGGATTCCTCGTTCGGAGAGCAATCCATTGGTGGGGTCACACGTTGGATTATAGTACCGTTTAACGACTCTGGAGACCGAAAAGCGTCGAGAATTTTGGCAGCCTCCACCGGTCTTCTGGCCCACTGTGGGGAGGGGAGGGGGGAGTCGACCACCGGGACAGGTCGGGGTGCGGCATGCTGCCCTGCGCGTAATCCGGGGGCTGAGGCTGAGCACAAATCGCTCCTCGCTTCGGCTAAGTGGTACACGCCCACTTGCTTGTTGGGGTGGAGGAAATCGGGGGCTGATTTGAGGGGAGGGGGAGGAGAGGGGAGGGAGGCGGAGGGGCGGGGGGTTGCATCCCGCCGGCGGCCTGTGGCCGTCGCGGCCAGTCCGGGAAATGGGTAGAGATTGCCACCTTGCTCCTCCGGGACCCCGCCGCCCGCCGCCGCCAGCAGACTGATTCCGAGAGTCGTCGCTCTGTCTCTCTCGCACTCACGAGGCGTCCCGTGAGGGTGCGAGAGAGACAGAGCGACGGGAGCGGCGTGCGGCGCCGGGATGGCTAAGCCCCGGCCGGGACGCCCAGACTCATTATGGACGCGGCATAATAAAACAGTGTTCCCTCCGAGGGCGGCAAATTTAATCTATTTTAGATCAAGCAGCGGAGCGTGCGCGACCCCGCCCATGCTGCGATAGTCGGATTGGCGAAAAAGGGAGGGGGGAGGGTGGGGGAGCGGAAGCACTTATTGCAGGGACGCGTATGGCGCCTGCAGTCGGACGGGTAGGCAACACGGTGTGCAGCGGTGCGGCGTAGCTGCCTGGTTCGCGTTCGCAGGCGCTAACGCTGTGGAGAGGAACCGGCGGCCACTGGCAAAGTTATGCTTCAGTTCAGTTCTGGCTGTAATACCAGTCCGCTCTGCAAGCTCAACAGTGTACACTCTCTGTAGCGTGTACTCACGAGTATACTTTCTTCAGCGTGTGTTGACGAGCACACTCCACTGCAAGAAAAGGTGTAGAGAGTACAACAAAAGTACAACAGAAACTGTACAATAAAAGTACAACAGGGATGGTCGGAAGTACAACGAGAATTGTACAAACTACAACGAGCCCTGGACTGCACAGCACTTGTCATGCCGGTTCCATTGTACTTTGTACAACAATTGTTGTACTTGAAAAGTACACTCAATTCCTGATAAAAAAATTTGCCAGAAATTTGTGTACTTTTGTTGTGGTTATTTCCTGCAGTGTCCCACGAGCACGCACTCAACTGCATACATTCCCGGGATCCGAGCACACTTAGTAATCCCGCTATGAGTCGGTCGGTCACTCACGGTGTGTCGGACAGTAGTCGATCAGTCTCATCACCAACCGGTGGCTACGGCAAGAGCGTCACCCACGAAGAGAGGGAGGACCTGGGTTCGATACCCGGTCCCTTCGTTCTTTTCCTTCGTTACCGCTTCCCCTACGGTCAGTCGGAGTTTAGGCACCTATCGCAAGTATAACGGTGGTTAAGTGGGCAAGAGCTTTGGTCGCTACAACTAATATCTTTTCACCAGTTAAGCACTTCAATTTGGTTTGATGAGTGCAACTTTCGGGGTGCCCGCTTGTATGCCAGTTGGTGGCCGAGGGCTCCTAGGTGTCGGACGCCACGTGAAGGATCGGGGTTCGAATCCTCGACGCGTCTCTGTTTTCCAAGTTTAGCGGCTCCTCTCTGGTGCCATCAGTACGAGTTTCGGACTGCCCAGAAGGAGCGAGCTGGTGGCCGAGGGTGCTGAGGCGTCACTCTCCGAGAGAAAGGCTCTGGGTTCGATTCCCGTGCGCTTGACTCTTTTTCAAGTTTGTGGCTCTATAGTGATGCCATCAGTACGAGTTCCGAGTTTGGAAGGTGTAAGGTAGTCGGTGGCCGAGAGTGTTAATGTGTTGGACGCCACGTGAAGGGTCGAGGTTCGAATCCTCGACGCGTTTCTGTTTTCGAAGTTAGCGGCTGCTCTCTGGTGCCATCAGTACGAGTTTCGGACGGCACAGATGAAGGGAGGTGGTGGCCGAGGGTGCTGAGGCGTCATTCTCCGAGAGAAAGGCCCTGGGTTCGATTCCCGGGCCCTTGACTCTTTTCCAAGCTTGTGGCTCTATACTGTTGCCATCAGTACGAGTTACGATTTAGTAAGATGTAAGGTAGTCGGTGGCCGAGGATGTTAAGGTGTCGGTCACCACTCGAGAGGTCTGGGTTCAACTCCCAGACGAGGCCGAATATAGGAAGGGGCCAGTACGAGAAGGACCTGGGTTCAACTCCCAGGCGAGGCCAAATACAGGAAGTGGCTGGCATGAGAAGGACCTGGGTTCAACTCCCGGGCGAGGCCGAATACAGGAAGGGGCCGGCATGAGAGCGACCTGGGTTCAACTCCCAGGCGAGACCAAATACAGGAAGGGGCCGGCATGAGAAGGACCTGGGTACAACTCCCAGGCAAGACCAAGGGGCCGGCATGAGAAGGACCTGGGTTCAACTCCCAGGCAAGACCAAATACAGGAAGGGGCCGGCATGAGAAGGACCTGGGTTCAACTCCCGGGCGAGGCCAAGTACAGGAAGGGGCCGACATGAGAGCGACCTGGGTTCAACTCCCAGGCGAGGCCAGTTACAGTAAGTGGCTGGCATAAGAGGAACCTGGGTTTAACTCCCAGGTGGGGCAGCGTTGAGGGAGGAGTCAGCATGAGAAGTACCTGGGTTCAGCTCCCAGGCAAAGATGTGAGAAAAATAGTGCAGGACAGGTAGGCGAAGCTACTTCGGTTCTTAATATAATTATACCAAATTTTTAACTGGAATTCTTTACGAGCTAATGTAGAGAAGAGGCCATGTTTAAGAGCAACACTCTTTACTTTCCATGGGCTACGTGTAGTGATAACAGTCCTCATCTAAGCATCACATAAAATTGTGTTGACAAAATTAATGACAATGAAAACTTGTTGATGCTCTTCTGCCGATCACAGGTGTCTTTAGCCTCGCCTGAGAGTTCAGCTTAAGTATTTCTCATGGTGGTCCCTGCCTGTATTCTTCCGCGCCTGGGAGTTCAATCCAAGTGCTTCTCATACTGACTCCTCCCGCAACTCAGCTCCACCTGGGAGTTGAATCCAGGTTCCTCTCATACCAGCCTGTTACTGTATCTGGTCTCGCCTGGGAGTTGAACCCAGGTCACGCTCATGCCGGCCCCTTCCTGTATTTGGCCTCGCCCGGGAGTTGAACCCAGGTCCTTCTCATGCCGCCCTCTTCCTGTTTTCGGCCTCGCCCGGGAGTAGAACCCAGGTCCTTCTCATGCCGGCCTCTTCCTGTTTTCGGCCTCGCCCGGGAGTTGAACCCAGGTCCTTCTCATGCCGGCCCCTTCCTGTATTCGGCCTCGCCCGGGAGTTTAACCCAGGTCCTTCTCATGCCAGCCACTTCCTGTATTTGGCCTCGCCTGGGAGTTGAACCCAGGTCCTTCTCGTACTGGCCCCTTCCTATATTCGGCCTCGGCTGGGAGTTGAACCCAGACCTCTCTAGTGATGACCGACACCTTAACATCCTCGGCCACCGACTACCTTACATCTTCGTAAGTCGTAACTCGTACTGATGGCAACAGTATAGAGCCACAAGCTTGGAAAAGAGTCAAGGGCCCGGGAATCGAACCCAGGGCCTTTCTCTCGGAGAATGACGCCTCAGCACCCTCGGCCACCACCTCCCTTCATCTGTGCCGTCCGAAACTCGTACTGATGGCACCAGAGAGCAGCCGCGAACTTCGAAAACAGAAACGCGTCGAGGATTCGAACCTCGACCTTTCACGTGGCCTCCAACACATTAACACTCTCGGCCACCGACTACCTTGCACCTTCCAAACTCGGAACTCGTACTGATGGCATCACTATAGAGCCACAAACTTGAAAAAGAGTCAAGCGCACGGGAATCGAACCCAGAGCCTTTCTCTCGGAGAATGACGCCTCAGCACCCTCAGCCACCAGCTCGCTCCTTCAGGGCAGTCCGAAACTCGTACTGATGGCACCAGAGAGGAGCCGCTAAACTTGGAAAACAGAGACGCGTCGAGGATTCGAACCCCGACCCTTTACGTGGCGTCCGATACCTAAGCACCCTCGGCCACCAACTGGCATACAAGCGGGCGCCCCGAAAGTCGCACTCATCAAACCAAACTTAAGTGCTGAACTGATGAAAAGATACATGTACGTCTAGTATTCGAACCTACACCCTAGTCTTAGCGGCCGAAGCTCTTGCCCACTGAACCTCCGTTATACTTGCAATAGGTGCCTAAACTCAGACTGATCGTAGGGGAGGCGGTAACGAAGGAAAAGAATGAAGGCGCTGGGTATCGAACCCAGGTCGTTCCCCTCTAGGTGGGGGACGCTCTTGGCGTAGCCGCCGGTTGGTGATGTTACTGATCGACTGTCCGAACCACCGTGAGTGACCGACCGTCCCATTGTAGGATCACCTTCAGAGTGTATTATCCAAGCATACTCTCGTTTGAGTGTACTCATCTAAGCACACTCGTCAGAGCGTGTACTCAGGCACACTCTCGTTGGAGTGTACTGTACTCATCTGCGTACACTCTTGTAGGAGTGTATCTGTGAGTACACGCTGAACGGAGTGCGCTGTGTGCTGAGCACACTGTTGAGTTTGCAGAGCGGCTTTTGTTCTTCTTGACATCTGTCCCAGCACTTCTCCGAAGTACTCGATTGCGTAGCTTTTATTAGTGTGTACTCTTGCTCCTAATTGGTCGACGCGAAATAGAATCTGTCCTCAAACTGAAGTTAGAATTACGAGAGCGGTCCATCGGAGGTTGAGCGCATGCGCTACTGTCAACCCGGCTTTGCTTCGCATGCAACTGCGTGGGTGCGCGTCAGTCAACAGTTTCATGGCAGTTCGCTTCCATTTTACATCTCTTTATACCCTTTCTTATATTACTGTCGTTCCCGACAGAGATCCCAGCGTGGTGAGCAAGAGCACCAACCAGCGCAGGAGCGTCAAGGAACGAACCAACAGCGGGCACGAGACTCTACAGGAGGACCGGATCCATCGAGGAGGGAACACTCGGACGACGCACCCATCGGAAGCTGCCAATCTTCAACTACAAACTTCTCAGCGAGGTTAGTACGACTTCAGAATCATAAGTTTCGTTGAATGTGACGTTCAACGCTAGCCGAAGGTCACTTCCGGTTAGGTCTGTACTGGACACTCATCTACAGTGAGCTTGCGTAACGGTCCCTTTGTTGTGCAATAGGGTAAATTTCATGCAATTCTAGTGCCAAAATACGTAAAGATACTGTGGCGCATGGAAATAAACACGTTAACTTCAGTGTTCCCGGTACAGATGGTAGCACTGCAAAGCCAGTGGTAAGTTTACTTCCCACAAATTTGGCAAGCCGTTTTGAATGCTAAAAATTGGCAAGCTTGGCCTGGAAATACTCCCCAGCATGCCAAAATCTGGCAAGCTTAGCCTGGAAATGCCCACCAGCTTGCTAAAATCTGACAAGCTTGTGAAGATTTCCGACCATAGCTTGCCAAATCTGTGGCAAGTAAACTTACAACTGGCTTTGCAGTGTAGCTCTTGGCTGAGTAGTATATCCCTCTCTTAGCGTAACGCAATGTTTTAGCCGAAAGTCCTATCGGATAACCTGACTCAAATCAAAGTCAAGTTTGACTAGTTATGATATCTAGGAGAACGTTTAGACCGGAAGACAGGAGCTGCCACGGCGCCTGGAATCAAATGTTAGTGAAAAGACTTTTCCTTAAGTATCTGAAGTAGGCTAGCTGGTTCATTTAATCGACTTCCAGTTTCGTTAACCTTGATTCCGATTACTGCGGAACTTCTGGACTATTTTTTTTCGTACCCGATTACATGAGTTCTTCTGGGACATGTACGGACGTTCAGTCCTTTTTACCGCACTTCCGTACTATACTTGTCTGTACACGGTCTGTTTCCGTACAAAAATACGGAATTTTTTTTACAGTTCACCCGATTTGCCGCGGATCCTCTGTACGACTAACTTTCGAAATGCTCCTAAAAGCAATACCTTGTTGGCCCTCTGTAAAGTCCGTAGTCATTTCACCTAACATTTTAGGGGTAAAATTTTTATTCTCTAATACCGTTGTGCATGATGTTTCGCATTTTACTGAAACTAGTAAAACGGTCCCTCTTTGAACAAAATCGGATAACTTTTAATTTTCCAGTTTGAACCGCGAAATTGTAACATTTCTAGAGAATAGACTATTCTAGTCGTGGCTGAGTGAAGAACAAGAAGAATCACAAAAGTGTACTATTTTGCACTTTTACTTCAAATGTTTAAGTCCCCTTGCTTGGTAGAAGTTAATTCAAATATTTTCTAGTAAATGCAACATATTTCATCAAATATATTCACTTTAAATGCCCTAAATGGCGTCTTTTGTGATTCTTCTCGTTCTTCACTCAGCCACGACTAGAATAGTCTATTACCCAACTGTCTTCCTTTGAGCGGTAATAGCGTTAATATGCTAATACCGACCAAACAATCCGCTTTCCCGTTTTGCGTTTCTACCCATTGCGCTCAGTCAGGCAGAATATTTTCGTGTTAAAATAAATCACAAGTTTCTCATTTTCTTTGTTTGCAGTGACTTCCAACGCGCGAGACACGAAATCAACATCATGGTGGAGAATTCTTCGGAGTACTACGACAGCAACAAGAAGACCACTACAAAATCGACCGTGTCAAGTGATCGTCGAGTTCATCATATGGATAGGCTATTCGAGTGCACAGTTTGCAAAAGGAAGTTCACTCAACGATATCACCTAAATAGACACATCAGAATTCATACAGGGGAGAAACCTTTCGAGTGCCCAGTTTGCAATAAAAAGTTCAGTAGGTCTGAAGGTCTCCAAACTCATATTACTACCCACAAAGAGGAGAAGCCTTTTGAGTGCTCAGTATGCAACAAGAAGTTTAGTTGTACACAAGGTCTCCGAAAACATTGCAACACCCATTTAGAGAAGAAGCCTTACGAGTGCACAGTTTGCAACAAGACGTTCAGTCAAGCTTTTAATCTTCGAACTCATCTGACAACTCATACAGGGGAGAAACCTTTCCAGTGCACAGTTTGCAAAGAGGCTTACAGTCACGCTGGTCATCTTCGATCTCATCTAAGAACCCATACAGGGGAGAAGCCTTACGAGTGCATAGTTTGCAACAAGACGTTCAATCAAGGTAGTAACCTTCGATCTCATCTGAGAACCCACACAGGGGAGAAGCCTTACGAGTGCGCAGTTTGCAACAAGACGTACAGTCATGCTGGTTATCTTCGAATTCATCTTAGAACTCATACAGGAGAGAAGCCATTCGAGTGCACCGTTTGCAAGAAAAGGTTCAATGAAACTGGTACGCTCCGAATTCATCTTAGAACTCATACAGGGGAGAAGCCATTCGAATGTACCGTTTGCAATAAAAGGTTCAATAAAACTGGTACGCTCCGAATTCATCTTAGAACTCATACAGGAGAGAAGCCATTCGAGTGTACCGTTTGCAATAAAAGGTTCAGTGGAACTGGTACACTCCGAACTCATCTTAGAACCCACACGGGAGAGAAGCCTTACGAGTGCACAGTTTGCAACAAGACGTTCAGACAAGCTCGTGATCTCCGAATTCATCTTAGAACCCATACGGGAGAGAGGCCTTACGAGTGTAGAGTTTGCAACAAGACGTTCCATCAAGCTCATGAACTCCGAATTCATCTTAGAACCCACACAGGAGAGAGGCCTTTCGAGTGTATGGTTTGCAATAAGAAGTTTGGTCGAAGAGACAATCTTAGAACTCATCTTAAAACCCATACAGGAGAGAAGCCTTACGAGTGTACAGTTTGCAACAAGACGTTCAGTCGAGCTGGTAAACTCCGAATTCATCTCAGAACCCACACGGGAGAGAGGCCTTTCGAGTGTACAGTGTGCAAAAAGAAGTTTAGTCGAGGAGACAAACTTAAAACTCATCTGAAAACCCACACATCTGAGACAAAAGAATTGTAATGAAGCATATGTCCTTTCTTAACATCTCTGAACTAACTGTGGCTGTTTCATCCACAGTAAAGAGAAAGAATTCAAGCTGAGAAAACTTTGAACCTGGTTGACAAGCTTCTTGGCAGAGAGACTGTCGACAAGTGCTTTGTTCCTGATTTACAGTGTATTAGTTTTAAATTCCAGTGGCGTTAAATGGCACCTTATCTCTTTATTGGCATCATTTCATAATGTTCATCTATTTAGGTGTTTGGTTTGTTGTACTTTGGTTTGTTGACTTCGCGTGTCACGTTTGACCAGGCGCTTGCCTTGTATATTGCCCACTGTTTCTTTGATTGCCTGAATGAGTATTAAAAATGATTTAACAGCAGTCGATGTATTTGTTTTAATTCATTAAGCATTCCGAAAGCTTTCGATTTAAGCATGAAAAAAGTAAGTCCCAAACAGAACATCTTTATTTCCGTCAGTTATGAGAGTTTTGGCACTTCTTATAAGATTTCAACACATTTTGCATCACTTTTGGAGCTCAAGAACTCTTTACAAAACTTGTACAAAGGTAGTCCAATTAATTTTTTGGGAGCATTGGGCAAGAGGGTTGCGAGTAGTGAGAACAGGTTGGGCCGAATTCGGCGAAAACGGAACCTGGTTTTCCAAGGAACTCCCTGGAAATCGCCCATGTCTGTACCATGGGCTTCCTGGGAAAACCAGGTACAGTTTGTACCGTGAAATGAGAAAGTTTTTGAGCTTCGAAAGTGATAATGTCCCCTACATTTACTTCACGTCCACACTAAATTACTTTGTAGGCGCGTGCGAATGCACGAAATCACACACGGACTTCGTAACGCGCGAAATTGTGCGCGACAATGCACGATTTCTTGCGCAAGTATGCAGAAAATCGTGCATTGTCGCTCGCAAATTCGTGCGTTACGAAGTGCATGTTTAATCGTGCGTTACGAAGTGCACGTTTAATTTCGTGCATTGGCGCGCAGAAAAAAACCTACATAGTAAGTAAGTGAGTCGATTTATGACACATTTGAGGCTCAAATACCTCTTCATTTCGCACCGTAGCCCATGACATGTAAAACGACTCTCGGAATCAGTCTCCCGGCAGCAGCCCAAGCCAATTCAGCGTCGCGCCACGCGCCTCGGGAAAGCAACGCCTCGCCCTCGTCTCGATTCTCGTGCGTTGCCGTCCCGCTGTGCCGCTTTTGGGGGTCAATCTATATAGCCCTCCAGCCGCCCCTCTCTTCTCCCTCCCTCCCCGCCCCCTCCCCTCCAACCCCCAGTCTCTTTCCAGCCACGCAACCTTCATGCCTCCGCCTTGATCGGGCGGGAAGACAATGGGCCTCCAGCAGCCACTGTGCTGCACAGTGGGCCAGAAACCGGCGCAGGCGGCCAATATTCTAGACGCGTTTTGAGCTCCCGAGTCGCTAAATGGGACTCGAACCGACCGTGTGACCCCACCAATGGATTGCTCTCCGGACGAGGAATCCATTGGTGGGGTCACACGTTCGGTTCGAGTCCTGTTTATCGACTCGGGAGCTCAAAATGCGTCTAGAATTTTGGCCGCCTGCGCCGGTTTCTGGCCCACTGTGCTGGCTGGGCTTCCACGCTGTACGCCAGTACGCTGCTGTGCCTTCGGACGGGGCGAGAAGGTAGATCTATCGTCCCAGCGGTAACGTCTACACCGCAGCGAACACCGCACATCCACCCAGAAAAGTAAAATAAAGCGCACCTTGAAATCGTGGGGTCCTATTCAAACGATCTTATCTGGGCGTTCCCCCCGAGACAATCTTATCTTAAACGCAGGTGAATTTCACATAGTTTGATCATTTGATACAGCTACATATCAATATCATTTGTGAGTATGTTCAAGTAAATCTAAAGATGGAAAATCAAAGAAACCAAAAGTGCAAGTAGAAATGTGTTTCGCTTACCGTCGTATTTATTCTGACTGATCAAAATGTGTGAAATAGGGTACTTTCGTAGAATCCTGAACCGGAAGCAAGCAGACCAGCAGACGCCAAATTGGCCGGAAACTAACCTCTCTTCGGATCCAAAACTATAGCCGAGCTGTACAAATATTGCTCGCGAAACACATAAGCACTGCAAACAAATATCAAACGACTGTTTATGTTCAAGTATTGCCGATACCTTTGACGAACGTCTCTTTCCCATGTCAAGTTTGGATCTACTTCCGCCAACATGGCGTCTGTGTGCTTCCGGTTCAGGGATCTACGAAAGTACCCTATTCGCAGGCGTTTAAGATAAGATTGTCTTGGGGGGAACACCCAGATCTTTTGAATAATAGGACCCCTCGAAATGTAAGAAAGAAAATAGAAAGACTATACGATTTACACCCACAAACGTAGCATAATTTCGGTGCCCACTGCTTTTCTGTCTGTTCAACGTACACTGGTCACCGATAGAACTATAGCGTCGTTGTACGCCTCTTTCAAGAGTAACTGCGCTTGAGCCAATTTTCCTTGTGCACTCTGCAAACTCAACAGTGTACTCAGTACACTATTGAGTGTACTCATCTGAGTACACGCTAGTTAGAGTCAATTCATCTGAGTACACGCCATTTAGAGTGTACTCATCCGAGTACACGCTAGTTAGAATGTACTCATGAGCTGTTGAGTTTGCAGAGCATTAGGAGGAATAGAGCACATGAACCTGTATACGCGTCAAGAAAGGCCTTATGTTACGCCATAGTGCACTACAGCGGTTGCGTTACAGGCTTCTCTGCTCAGATTCCACCATCTAAATGGGAATTTGTTGTCTGAATATCAAGCGTAACATCTTCACGCCAGTCTGCTTCAAATAAGCATAAGCTTACGGTTACGCTTCTGTTCCGTCAGACTTCCATGTTGGAGAAATGCCTTTAAATTTGAATAAATTTTTAGCATTTCAAATTAAAGCAGAGCTGCTCGTCGGAGTGTGCTCTCAGTGTGCCGGAAGACCGGTGGAGGAGGCCTAAAAACTCTAGACGCGTTTAGAGCTCCAGAGTCGCTAAACAGGGCTCCAACGGAACGGGTGACCCCACCAATGGATTGCTCTTTCGAAGAGCAATTCATTAGTGGGGTCACACTCTCGGCTCGTCCCATAATGCGACTCTGGAGCTCAAAACGCGTCGGGGATTTTGACCGCCTGCACCGGTCTTCTGGCCCACTGTGCTCCACCTCGTTGCAATCAACACCGACGCGTTGTCACGGCGTCACACTGTGCGATGAACCAGCTGGCAGAGGCCGCCCCCGCGGCGTGCGCGCCATGCATGCCAAAACGACGACACACTGCATTTAATTTTCGCGAAGGGAAAGCCCGCGATCGACGCGGCACGTAGGGAATGAGTGACGCGCTCGCATTTGGCTGTGGGCGCCAGTGTGGGCGCGCCGTGTTGCCGCCGAGTGTGTGTGTGTGTGTGTGTGTGTTGGCGAACCGCTATATTCGGCGCACGCACGCGGGGACCACACCAACCCTTCCCCTCTTTGTGCGGCCTGGTCCCGCCCCTGTAGGCCCCCGCAGCAGGTCTTGCCCAGGCCGTGGCCCCCGCCGCAGCGAACGTGTTAAAGTGAGGATGGCGGTAATTATGTCCCCCCCCCCTCCCCCTTCTCCCTGTGCGCCGGGAGGACGACGTACTCGTGGTGCTTCCAGGAGGCGCACAGTGGGCCAGAAGACCGGTGGAGGCGGCCACAACTCTAGACGCGTTTTGAGCTCCAGAGTCGCTAAATGGGACTCGAACCGAACGTGTGACCCCATCAATGGATTCCTCATGCGGAGAGCAATCCATTGGTGGGGTCACACGTTCGGTTCGAGTCCTGTTTAGCGACTCTGGAGCTCAAAACGCGTCTAGAGTTTTGGCCGCCTCCACCGGTCTTTTGGCCCACTGTGAGGCGGGCCCCTGCGGCCCCAGGGACGCGCGCCGTGAGCCGCAGTGTGTATGTTAGTGAACAGTGGATCGCCAAAGCGAGGCAAGCGGGGCAAGGGCGCGCGGCGGATCTTCGGCGGGAACACTTACCAACTCCCTGCCGTGCCGCCCCGGGTATCAGGCAGTGGCGGATCCAGGAAGCGGCTCAAGGGAGGGGCAAAGTAGGTCCATTGCCTGCGTTAGTGGCGGGAAAGTGTGGCGTTTGGTCTTCCTTTCAGGTGGCCATCTAGGGGTCAAGAGGTTAAAACTTTTTGGACCCTTCTAGTTGGTATCTATTTTCTCTGTTTCTCTTCTAATCTTCTATCTTTTTCTGTCTATTCTTTGTTTGTTATCTCTCTCTCTTCTCAGGTTTTCGAGAGTGGCTGGTATCGGGCCGCACTCCTCTCGCGTTAATCTCGCTTACCGGCTCTGGTCTTTTTCCTCTCTCACTCGGAAGCCGTGCCGGCCCCCGGTCCACCCCAGGGCCTTGGGGGGGGGCGGCCGGCCGGACCACGCCGGGGCCCTTTTGGGGGGTTTTTGGGGAAATATTGCCCCTTCGCCAAGTTTCGCGGCGACAAACGCCGCCGCGCCGTGGAGCGCGAAGGGAGGGCCGAGGGCAGGGCTCGGCTCGACAGGCGCCTGGAAGGCAGGCAAAACGCCGTGGTTGGCCGCTGAAAGTAGGTAAAGGGTGCTACTCTGCCCCTGCAATTTTCAAAGGGAGCTACTACCTGGCCCCTGGAATTTGGAAAAGTGTGTCACTTTACCCTTTGGGAATTTTTGGGAAAAAATGTACTTTACGCCTGGAATTTTTGAAAAAAAGTGTCCTTTACCCCTGGAATTTGCAAAGAGTGTCCTTCACCCCTGGAATTTGGAAAAGTGTGTCACTTTACCCCTGGAATTTTGCAAAAAAAGCTACTTTACGCCTGGAATTTTGTCGAATTTTGCAAAAAGTGCTCCTTCACCCCTGGAATTTTGCAAAGAGTGCTCCTTCACCCCTGGAATTTTGCAAAGAGTGCAACTTTACCCCTGGAATTTTGCAAAGAGTGCAACTTTACCCCTGGAATTTTGCAAAGAGTGCTCCTTCACCCCTGGAATTTTGCAAAAAGTGCTCCTTCACCCCCGGAATTTTGCAAAGAGTGCTCCTTTACCCCTGGAATTTTGCAAAGAGTGCTCCTTCACCCCTGGAATTTTGCAAAGAGTGCTCCTTCACCCCTGGAATTTTGCAAAGAGTGCTACTTCACCCCTGGAATTTTGCAAAGAGTGCTCCTTCACCCCTGGAATTTTGCAAAGAGTGCTCCTTCACCCCTGGAACTTTGCAAAAAGTGCTCCTTCACCCCAGGAATTTTGCAAAGAGTGCTCCTTTACCCCTGGAATTTTGCAAAGAGTGCTCCTTTACCCCTGGAATTTTGAAAAGAGTGCTACTTTACCCCTGGAATTTTGCAAAGAGTGCTACTTTACCCCTT